ACTCTACCTATGGTAGAGGTAAAGTAAGATGACTTATTCTCCTACCAGGAGTGAAAATAAGTCATCTTCACAATTTGTTGTGTTATGGTTTCAAAATGATGAAGGCAGTTGGAGAGCAATTAGTTACAAAATAGGATGTAGGCTCTATAGGATGTTTTTTTTTCATGTTTTTCCCAAATGGACAGATTTTTAGGCATTGTATAATCTCAACGGGCTTGAAAAATAATGCATATAGCTGCTGTAAATTGGAGAAATCTCTGGGGTGAACAAAACTGTTTTGGTCTTGTAAATTGTCAACTCAAACAGAGTTGTCATTGCATGAAAATGGAAAACAGAAGGGGACCTAAAACAGAACCTTGAGGAACTCCATTCTATATCTGTAAGAGCCCTGACACACCAAGCCAACAGTCAGCTGTCGTTCATTGTCAGGCCTACAGCTGACAGCTGGTTCGCTGTCAGCTGTAGTCTTTGTGGTGTGTTGATGTGCAACTTTTTGGCAGAAACAGGGCAACATCAAGCGACACAGCAGGGGCCTTTGCTGCTAGTTCTCTGAAGTTGGTTCGGTGTCAGGGCCTTAAAGGAAAGGAAGTCACTTGTCAAATATCAGACAGCTCGTTACACTCTGTTTCCAACTTCAGTCTGACATTGCGTTCACTGTAACCAATTTCCAGGGGTGGGAGGTGGATTTAATTTTCCCTAACCAATCACCAGAGAACAATGTATCCACTTGAAACTAATGTCTTTTTAAGTCCACACTGATGTGTAGCCATGCCAACATGCTGCTTTTGCCGGGGTTTTACGAAATTAAACATGTCAGGTGATATTGTAAGACATCACTTTAGAACAGCCTCTATAGCACTGACTATCTTGCAGTAATCACCATTGCTGATATTACTCCACATTGGTTCTGGTGCACCACTTGACGATGCTTTGAAAACAGCTTGATAATGGTATTAGTCCCACCTGTGGGACTGATTTGATTGTTTTTATGTAAACCAAGAAACCGCTGTTTCATGTCACAGTGCCAGTAAAATGAGTCAACTTGGTGGAGTGGGTGGATTTCAAGGTCTGCATCTAAGCATGTTTTGGTCTCTATAGCTAATTTCCTCATAATGACAACTGTACGGCAGAGACTTTTTATATAACTCAATCGTTTACAGTCATCCAAGTACACCTCAGGTCACTTCTGACTCCAAAAAATCTTTGATGGACACAGCAAAAACTCCAGACTCCGCTTTAAGACAGCAGTCCACAAACTAATGTGTTTTACAATCTATGGTCTTGATCAGATAATCTAAAAATAAGGGCATTGACCATCTGCATGACACTGACCCTCTTCCTGAGCAGGAGAGGTTGGCCGGCGGTCAAAGCAGTAGAGAAATTAAATAACACAATTAATGTGTAATCATGCTTCTAGGCCTCTTTCCATGTACGGGTGTACGATTCTTTGAAGGGAGACCTTGGAGTTCATCAGTAGTGCTTTGATGTTCTTCTCACAGTAGCGTGGGTTTGTGTTTGTATTTGCAATGACCAAAGGAAGCACACTGTCCCATGATAAAAATGTAAATATGTATTCATGAACCCAGTGTTCTACCTCCAATCCTTCTATACGTAGATCTCTGGCCCACTCCCCTTCCTTTGTTCCTCACACACCCCCTTGCCCTCTCCATGGCCCCTTTACTCTTACTCTAGACTGCGGCTGCTCCGTCATGTTTCATGTATGTCGGCCACTGTGCTTCTATTCATTTTACCTTGTAGAGAGCAGGACCCCGTGCTGGAGTCAGGGTTGTGGACTGTGTTTACTGTGTACACACTGTGGGAGCTCATGCAGCACTGCCTTCAAATGGGTGGTTAACATTTAACAGAGGAAAACGCGGGTCATCATCCTGCATTCATTGTCGGTTATATTTCACCTTGTACTCCCACTTTTAACAGGGGGCATGCATCACAATTCAGCCACTTGTTTTTTTGCATTGTGTGCGTGTAGAGTATAAGGAGTGAAAATTAAAGTAGTGGTTTTGCAACTTTCCTGCAGGCTATGGTGTTTCACTGTTGGAAGGTAAAGCAATTATTTTATCAATGAGTTGAAACATGTTGAACCAGGCAGCATTTTTGTCTTTAGATTTTGGTGCAAACAATTCATGTTGCTTGATTTCATCTTTGAGCAACAGCTGTTTGTTCCCTAGTGACATTACATACATCTATACTTGCACAGCACCTGCAAAACATTTACCCACTACTGGATCAAAATAAATAAAGCTAAACATTTCGAAAGCTTGAACTTGTAAGACATATTTCTAAATAGATCCTATATGTAAACCAGGTCATCTTCCTGTTTAAAAATAAACAAGCCAGGCAACAATCACAGAGACCAGCCATGACCTCAGCACAAGTAACTACAGGTCAGTTGTAAACACAATGTCAGGCTGTTCTGACTGAGAGGAAAACATCTTTAGTTTTCAGTCAATGCAAAGGAGTGTGCTTTTGTTTATTTTTTGGTTGTGGCAGTATTGTGTGATTATGTTTAGGCACAAAAATCGTTTGGTAAGATTTAGGAAAAGATCTGGCTAAAAATTCCCAGTTTCTGTGCCATAACCACTGCTGCAAATGCCCTGATGTCTGACTGAAAAAACACCTATATTTTGGCACCCTGACCAAACCAACCAAACTGCAGATGTTTTGCTTAAAGGTCCAGTGTGTAAAATGGGTTGAAAACCATTGAAAACAGTGACATCAGTGGTCAAATTCTAGATTGGAGGGCTCACTCGCTCACCCCTCCCATCGGGTAAATGACGGTGGCCTCGTAGGGACAAAAAGCCTTGCACACAAATTTTTCAGAAGTAGGACTATCTAGCGAAGAGGTGAATGTTTATTTAGAAATCTAAACCATGTTACGATATTGTAATGAATCCCTCACGAGCAGGAGACCAGAGGAGCGTTCGGGAAAAAGGCCCGTTTATTTGAGCACTCCAGAAACTCTGGTAACACTCCACTCCATCCCAAACTCTGACTCTTCTAGCGTAACAGACACACTTCATAACTTTACACACATACTCGTTTACCATACTGAGTGGGGACCCCCCTCCCCTCTCTGCTCCGCCAATCTCCAGCCCGCACACTGACTGACAGCGTAGCCGGTAAACAGAGCTCAGCTGTTTATTTAGCCTAGCAATATCTCCGGACTATAGTAGCTGCAATGGACGACTTTGAACGCGATTTTGAAGAGTTTCTTGTAGCGGACACAGACCCAGAGCCATACCTGTTTGAGCCGGAGCATACAGATGAGGAACTCCATGTGTTTGATGCTGAGCGGGTGAGAAGAGAGGCTGAATGCACAGAATGGGATTCGGTGCTACTGCTACCATCGTTGGGGAGATATATCATCAGGAGGAAAAGCGCCGCAGAGAGTGCATCACAAGGAGTGAAGTTGCGTCTTCTTTTCCTCGCAGATGACGGTTCGGGTTCATTCTCTCCTGTTGCGTGGTAAGTGTGGTCCATTCGCAAACTTTATAACTAAAAAAACTTTTCACTACTCTCTATCGACGAACTACTAACACTCTCTGCTGTTTCCTCCTCCTTCTTCCTTCCTTCCGCTGTCTTCGTTGGTTCATTTATACACGCGAAACGCGTTCTCTGGCTGGCTGGATTGTCCGCTCGGTCTGCCGTACATACATGGCGGCGCAAGATGGCGACCTCTCTAAAGCAAGGCCCTTGCTATATATATATAAAAGCATAATTATAAGGCTACGAAAACCAAACGAATTTTATTTTATAGCGATCATACACTTGTATAAACATATTAATGGGTAGAATATTCAGATTCAGATTCAGATTGACAATAAACCATGCCAAATATTACACACTGGCCCTTTAAAACATCCAATTTTGGTGCCACAACCACCACTGGAAAAGTCCCAATGTCTCAAAAATCTGGGCTGGAAATACTGCTGGGGTTTTCCAAAAAACATCAGGTGTTGGTGCCACAACCACCACTGGAAATGTTCTTATGTCTTGCTAAAAAACACCCAGTTTTGGTGCCACAATCCCCGCCAAGAATGCCACCATGGCTGACTAAAAAAACACCCATTTTTTGGTGCCCCAACCAAAGCAACAAAACTGCCAGTGTCTTGCAAAAAAACTTCAAATTCTGGTGCCACAACCACCACTGGAAAAGTCCCAGTGTCTGACAAATAAAAAGCACACAGTTTTGGTGCCACAGATGGGCTACAAATACCGCCAATGTCTTGCTAAAAACTTAAGCTTCAGAAGTTTCCTAATGTCTGGCTAAAAAATATCCAATTTTGGTGCCACAACCACCACTGGAAAAGTCCCAATGTCTCAAAAATCTGGGCTGGAAATACTGCTGTGGTCTTGCTAAAAAAACATCAGGTTTTGGAAATGTTCTAATGCCTGGCTACAATCCTAGCCTGAAATACTCCGATATCTGACTAAAAAACACACATTTTTGGTGCCACAACCATCACCAAAAATGCTGTGATGCCCCCTGACAATGCCACCCTGTCTGACTGACAAAACACCAATTTTTTGGTGCCCCAACCACTGCTGGAAGTATCGCCAATGTCTTGCTAAAAAACATCTGGTTTTGGTGCCACAATCACCGCTCATAAAATTCCAGTGTCTCAGTAAAAAAAACATCCAGTTTTGGTGCCACAGCTATGGCTGGAAATACCATTGATGTCTTGCTAAAAACCTAAGCTTTGGAAGTTTCCTAATGTCTGGCAAAAAGATGCCCATTTTTGGTGCTACAATCACGACTGAAATGCCCTCCATCTTTAAAAGGCATCAGCTCATACATGTACATGTACTGTGAACTATATCACTGTGGAAATGTTGATACACTACCTATGAAATGTAAAGGTCTTACATGATTGTAGTGTCCAGAGACCTACAATGCCAACACTGGGCTAAAACTACATCATCCATTCAGATATTGATTAGTTGAACCAGTTAATCATTGACCTGATTTTAGACAGTGTACATAAAGGCCGGGATCTTCACCCTTTTCCTGATGACAGCGGAGAGAGCTGGCTGCCAGTTGTTCCTCTAACATCACCGACACACAGCCAGAGAAGCAGCACGACAACAACATGAGAATTCTACTATCTCCCTTAGTGTTGGTCCTGGCTGCTGCCTGTGTCCCTGCCCTCTGTGGCAGAGAGGAGCAGCCAGTCCTCCAACTTGAGGCCCCGGCTGAAACTCGCTCCCGCTTTGCAGCGCTGGATGATGTGCGTCTTCTGGCGAACGGCCTCCTGCAGCTGGGTCAGAGCCTGCGGGAGTTTGTGCAGAAGACAAAGGGACAGATAAATGACATCGTCCAGAAGCTCAACATCTTCGACCGCTCGTTCTACCAGCTCTCAGTGCTCGCCAGTGAAATTAAAGAGGAAGAGGAGGAGCTGAAGAAGACCACTGTGGTACTGAAGGCCAATAATGAAGAGATCAGGGGCCTGTCTGTTGAGATCAACTCTAAAGTGGATAGCATCCTGCAGGAGAAGAGTCGCTTACAGAGCAAGGTGGATGGCCTGGAAGAGAAGCTCAGCAGCCTGTCACATGGTATGGTGACAAGCGAACACGTAGCTGAGATCAACAGCCTCAGGGTGAGTCACCTGTTGTTAGAAAGGAAACCTGCACTTGGATTTTTTTTTTTTTTTTTTTTTTTTTGGTGGAAATGCTTCTGAATGATTAGTTAGATGCAACACTAACTAATTGGCACATGAACACCTGGATGGGATGGCAGCTTTTCTATGGGCAGCCTATTCTTTTCTGCACAGGAAGAAATTACAGCAGTAAAAATGTTCCTTGTTTTAAACTAACATCTTCTGTCTTCTGAAAATAATTGGTAGACAAACTTTTAACAAGATACCAGGATATTCTTTTTGAATGCAGACTTATGCTATGTACAGTGTGACTGCTACAACACAAACTATGTATTATGTATAATATTAACAATTATATAACTTCCCTGATCAGGAGGTGATCCAAAGCCAGGAGCGGAGCATCATAGAGCTTCTGAATGCTGTGAGGGAGCAGAGTGACCAACTCAATCACCAAAGAGTGAAGATCAAGAGTCTGGAGGAAAAGGTGAATGCTAGGGAGTGTAGGAAAATGATCAGGGGCATGTTGGTCTTTTAAAATTTTCCATTTAGAATAAAAAAAATAAAAAATAAAATCAATCATCACATTCATAAATGAAGCTGCACTCTTTAGAAACTATCTGAAAAGAAGTGTTTCCAACACGGCAGCTATGCAACTCAGGTGTCGTGTAACTGATTTGATGGAAAGAGAGGCACGTGATGTCATACATATCAGGCTATAGCATCATCTGTTCTAATTCATATATATATATATATATAAATATATATATTTATATATATTCATCCAGCCCAGACCGTCCCTCCCAAAGAAAAGGGTGTACAGGTCATCTGTGTAAGCGGCTTACTAAAAACCAGATTTACGTTTATTGTTAGGTGGTGACCTCTAGTGGCTGTAGTAATTATGACAGGAGCAAATGAGAACATCAGTGAAAAGTATACATGTGGTGGAGATCAGGGTTAATGGATGAGTAAAACAAACATGGGACTTTCACCCAGGAGATCACTGTTCATGTCGTCAAAAACCGGGGCTTGGGCAGTGACTTCCAGCATCAGACACCAATGAAAAAAGCTATCCTTTCACATCGTCATGATATGTGGCCAGTTGCGGTTAGGTGCCCAGTGGCGTTAGGGGGAACGCGGCAGGACAACAACGAAAGTTAAGTGGGCAGAAGTCTGAGTAAGGCGGGTGGGATAGGTCTAACAACCACTGACTTTCACCCAGGAGGCCGGTGTTAGCTTCCTGTAAGATTGTAAAGCCAAACTCTGTTCTTTTTTCCTAAACCCCACCACAGGTGTGTGTTGGCTAAAATCACCACGTGCATTTATTGGTGTAGGATAAATTTGTCAATTCGCAGTGTTGTAATGACGTAGTGCATTTATTTTGAAAGAGACTGTATGTAAACAGTACATTTCCTGTGAAAATGTAAGTGTATTTTGTATGTGATGAGGTCGGAGAATGTGTTGGCCTGAACCTAACAAAACTAACTTTTACACAACATTAACTAGTAGTTACTGGATGTAACTCCAGTTCTATGGGTACATGCCTCTGTCGGGGGTACTCTCCAGTGGTTATGTAATTTTGGTTGTCATTGGCAACCGACCTATTCTCTTGTTTGGGATGTAAGGACATTTTGACAGATCTGGTGCCGATTCCCAGTTCACTTATTCAGGGGCTGAAACAGCTGTTCACTTAGAAATTCTGTTCAATACCAGAGAGCGGGTGAAATATTCACCAGTGGGTCATGACATGAATTATATTATTTCATAAAAGGAAAGAGTGGTAGAAAAATATTAATTATGCTCAGATGGCTCATCCTTTTTTCAAAATTAAATAATTTTCAGCCCTCCCTCCCACCGCAATCATCTTCATACAGTCCCTCATTCAGTCAGAGTGGAAGGCCGTGTCAGTTCAGATGGGCTTTTAGTTTGTTGATGTGCAGAAGTATGCATTTTTCAGGAAATCTCCTAACATCATTTTGCCAGCTTTGTGAGTTATGAGCTGTCATCATTGTGGCATTGCACTGAATGTGCTGGTAGAAAGAAACTTTAATGGAGTCATGGTACTATGTAATTTAGACTTTAAATCTTTGGAGGGTGCAGACATAATGAAGGAGCTGTCCATATTTTTAATAATCTCCGCCAGCGCCTCGGTGTTATAATACATTTGCATTTCCCTTGGTCTTGACAGCTCAAATTTATATTGTAACTGTAAAATATCTCAAAAACTTTGGAAAATATCTACCTTTGCAGAATAACAGCCCAAACTTTATTATGTGTGGAATTGCGATTCAATCCACAGTATTTCTCCATGGTCAGATTGAGGATTATGTCGGCAAGCTAAATGCTTTTCTTACTACCGACCTTATAATGATTATTTATGTTTTTATTTTGTATTGTGATTTTAATGTATTTTCTTGTTCTGTAAAGCACTTTGAATTACTTTGTGTACGAATTGTGCTCTACAAATAAACTTGCCTTGCCTTGCCAGTTAACGGTCAACACGTTGCCTCAAGAGACCATTGAGAGGATGCCTGAAACGTTCAACAGTGAGGCACCAACACTTGCCCCTTATCTGACCTCGAGCTCTGCCAGCACCCCCGACATGACGAGTAAGTTGGATAACAGTAAAACATGAGGAAATGTTGATGTGTGATATAAACATCTGGCATCTTTTATTTGTCATGCAGTATATCAGCAAGCCCTGAAGGTTATTTATTCAATCTTACTTTGTCAATGCTCATAGTTTAAGAATATGTCTCGACAATTTACAGCAATTTTCTGCAGCTTCATACCTTCCTGCTGCATTCAGCGCTTACTAAGCAATCAGTTATCCACACATTTTTCCTGCTGATGTTGCTGATGCGAACTGTTGACCACCTAGTCACAAGTGCACTTCCACTCCTTTGCCTCAGATTACAATTTTACAGCTTGTCTTTATGCAGAACAGTTTCAAGTTTGAAATCATGTTTGTATTCATTTTTAAATAGATCTGCCATCAGACTGCAGCGACCTGTTCAACAGAGGGGAACGAGTCAGTGGCGTCTATGCCATCAGACCCTCTGGAGCGGAGCCCTTCATGGCTTTTTGTGACATGGGCAAAGGTAATGTACTGTCACACAAACATTTCACTTCATCCCAGCAGAGGACTAGTTTCTTCTTGCAAATGTTGGCTTTGTATTAACAGTAAATTAAAGGAATACTTCATGTCCAAATGGCAATTTGAATGTCAATTCCTCACCCCTCTGTTGTGCTGAATTCTTGAAGAAAACTTTGCTTTTGTCGCATGTCTCCATGGTGAATGAAGAATCCAAAACAGAGAAAATTCTTGATGAATTGAAGTCCTAGGGGTCCACGCTTAACAACAGCAAAACTATATTAAAAAAAATATCTGTTTACAAACTCGTACACAACTCTTTTTGTATAATTCAAGTCTCATTTATCGAGTTGTATGCTCAGTACTTAGCAAACAGACAGCCTTTTCCAATGGGGAACTGAACTATAAGTAAAATTTATCTATGCCCTCTTCAAAGCCAGATTCCATTAACAAAACAGTAATTTTACCTCTCTGATCACAGAAGCTGAAGGTCTACCACTGCCTCAGTCAGTTAGTTTGTTTGTGTTATTATTATTATCACACAATAATGCAAACAAACTACCAATCAACGCAGCAGTAAACCAATAGCTCCTGTGTACTGTGAGGTAAAATTACTGAGAAAGAAATAACCTTAATGTACACTGTTTGTTGATAACCTCACACCTACGTGATGTGCATATAATTATTCTCCCTCATCTCGTAAAATTGCAGGGTTTTTTTCAATTAAATCTGGCTTTAAAGGAGCATAGATAAGTTTCACTATTAGGTCCACTGTCATAAAGGGCTGTCTGTTTTATCAGTTGGTTAATCTCACTAAAATGCATCTAGTGGACTGAAAAAGTCATTGATTTCAGCATTTTAGTAGTCTACCAAAATTTTAATTTGTGTTTAAAATAATCATTAATATAGTAAAAAAAACCTCATACTTAGCGTTTGTGTATCGATACAATTTTGCCACACATATATCACGATACTACACTGCATAAGTTTTTCCCCTCAACCCTAATAAATGGGGAACTGCCCATTGGTCCATCATCCCATTGTTCCGACCATATTAAACCCATTGTTCCGAAGTCCGTTCCAAAATCATCATGATGCCCTGTGGTTAAGGTCTGGTTAGGTTTAGGCACTAAAACCACTTGGTTAGGGTCAGGAAAAGATCATGGTGTGGGTTAAAATGAAAAAGAAAGTGACAAACGTATAAGCCGTGAGCCTGCTTCACCTCAAGCCTTTCCCAGCTGACCCAGAGCCAGTCGCGGCGCACCATCAAGGCAGAAATACGCCCGCCGGGAGCCGTTCAGCACCGTGGACTGTCGGACTAATGGGATGTCGGACCAATGGGATGTCGGACCAATGACATGGACCCAATAAATGATACTTGAATCACTACACGAGTTGTAATAGAGAATTTAACATAACACAGAGTAAGTTAGTGATATACAAAAGGTCATTTGGTGGGTGAAGTTTTCTTCAACCCATTGGAACATGGAGCGACATCACTTTTCTTGTGCTGCTTTCAGGCGCCTTTTATTGAAACATTTGAACCCTGAGCAAATTGGTGCAATTTCTTGTACAATTTTTTTTTACAAATTGTAAAAAAAAAAAAAAAAAATAGATTTACAAAATTATTTTAAAAAGACTAGGGAAAAAAGAAAAAACCTAGGGGAATAGCTATATTTATGATTATTATCATTATCATTATTGTATTATTACATTTTAAAATTATGTTACAGAATTTTTATGATTTTTAAGCATTTTTTTCCAGGTCATTTCCTTGTTTGTTTGTTTTTAACTTTCTTTCTTTCTTTTTTCTTTTCTTCTTTTTTATTTATTGATGTCTTGATTTGGATTTTTAATTAAGTTTTGTTTCATTTCTTCCTTCGTTGTTCAATGCCTTCGTCCCTGATATCAACGTGATAAAATTGCAAATTGTAACACTAGCTTACAGGTAGTCATTTTGTCTGAATCAAGAGGGGGAATGGCGGACCCCGCCACTAACAATGAAATGTAATACAGAATGTAAATACATGAAATAGCTATTGCTTAAAAAATGTCAACCATAAATAGTATTCAAATTATGTCATGAAAATAAGGGGGATTATACCTTAAAATTAATCTCTTTCTTTCCATTCAGATCATGGAGCAACAGTCATCCAGCGAAGGAGGGACGGTTCAGTGAATTTTGATCAAACCTGGGAGAAGTATGAAAATGGGTTTGGAGATTTTCAAGGTGAGAGATACTATTCTCAAGACTCTAAACCCAATTACCCATTTAATGCCGGAAAATTCATTCTCAGCTGCCACATCCTAAATTAAATGGCATATATCATGATTAGAACAATTGGAATTTTATAACCTTTGTAAGTTAAAGTCCCCCTGCACCTCTGTATGTAAGTTTGTGTGCGTCACTTCTTCATTAAAGGTACTTGTTAAATCATGTCAGCTCTGACAGCTCAATGATGTCTCTCTCACAGGGGAGTTTTGGCTGGGTCTCAGGAAGATCCACGCTCTCGCCGCTCAGGGCAACTCTGTCCTTCACATCCAGCTGGAAGACTGGAAACAGGGCAGGCGCTTCATCGAATACAGATTCCACCTTAATGGTCCTGAGAGCAACTACACCATTCACCTCACGCATCTGTCTGGAGATTTGCTGGACCCCATGAGCAACCACACAGGCATGATGTTCTCCACCAAGGACAGAGACAACGACAACCTCCAGGACTCCAGCTGTGCGCACAACTACACAGGTACAGCAGGTGCACATGTAAGAGACATGTTCCCAATGTGATGCAAAGAGGGGGGTAATGAATACTTGTCATTCAGCTGCACAACATGTAATTTCTGTCACCCTCCAGGTGGATGGTGGTTCAACGCCTGCGGAGACACCAACCTTAATGGGAGATATTTCCACATGAGACCTAAGGGGCGCTCAGAGCGTAGGAGAGGGATTCAATGGAGGACAGGCCAAAGGGCCTCTTACACCCTGAAGCACACACAGATCTCTGTGCACCCTGTGGCTTCCCCCAGGATCATCTCCTCCATGTCAGCGTCCTCTGAGACAGGCGTCTTTCTGTGATCCAGCTGCAGCATTCTCCAGTGATAATACTGCATGTATTAGTGGCCTCTAAAGGAGAGCCTGGTACGGTGGCCCGGACAGCTCAACACACTGCAAATTAAGTAAAGACATGTATATAGACACAACACATGCAAAAAAAGAAACATCGAACACACAGAAACATCAATACATTTACGAAAAGCACTGCAAGACAACAGAAACTGTTTCCAAGACACACTAAAAAGTGACGTGCATAGTTTGTAGTTTATGAAGTTTTGCGTCTTTATGTGATTCAGATATTAACAGCAGTAAACATATTAACAGCCAGCGACAGCCGGAAGAAGATCGTGGATGCTGCCTTTGTCAATTATGCCCCAAAGCTATGGAACACGCTGCCTATAGATATCAGGGAAGCTAGCTCGCTAAATATTTTTAAAAGAATGCTAAAAATACATCTGTTCACTTTAGCCTTTAACTAGCTCAGACTTCCTGATACAGGTCTGAAATTATTTCTGTTTAAGCTTCACGCTGCTGCAACTCTTTTAAAATCTTACTTGTTTTATGATTTGTAGTTTTACAACTCTATAATTTTATTTATCAGTTCTGTTTTATGTGCATTATGTCTATTTTCATGTGAAGCAGTCAGTTCTTATAATGCCCTTATTGTAAAGCAGTTTGTGCTGCATCTCTTGTATGAAAGGTGCTATATAAATAAAGTTTATTATTATTATTATTATTATTATTATTAAAACAAGTTCATAATCCATAAACGACAGTAACAAGCGCTGCGTTTCCCAGCCCTGTGCATTACATTTTAGCATCCTCTGCTAACAGTTTGTGTTGTCTTGTGAGCTTCTTGCAGTGCTTTTTCTAAAGTGCTGCAAATGTGTCACCAAATTTATGTTTTCATGTGTCATCAAGCCAATGAAGATGTTTCTTCATTTGTTTGTGTTGTGTCTATTTACATGTGTTTACAGGCTCTTTGTGTAACAGTGGAGTGGAGTGATGGCATTCTGAGCAGAAGTCATGTTACCTCTGTGTGTGTTGTTATCCGAGCTCCTCTGTGGTTTGTTGTGGTGTATCTCACTCGCTAGCTCTTTGCCACTGCTTTGCGCTGCACCCATATGGAAGTTGCTGTTGATTTAGGGACGGCGTCTATGCGAGACTGTAGCACCAACCCTCTGTTTCCCCCTTGGTTAACTCTGTTAGCTCTATTGCCTTTGTTTAGCACTGTATATGGAGTTAGCACCGTTAGCTGCTAGCCACTGACTCAGCCATCTCCATGCTGAGAACTTTGTCCAAACAACTCATAAGCTCTGAAATTCGCATAGATCCCCTTTAATTGGCAGTGCATTGGGCTCTTAGGGCCACCAGTGCTTCCTATTAGCAGATATAGTTTAAGAGGGCTTGTGCAGAGAGGAAGATGTTTCCTCTGAGTGTCAAGTTCCAGTAGATGAAGTCACAGTGAACGATGATCTCTAATGTAATAAAACACTTGTAATGTGAAATCTAAAATATATTATAATGCAATTAGCATACAATATGTCTTCACTCACTGTATCTTAAAGGTCAAAGGTTATGGAGAAGAAATTAAAACATAAAGCCATGTGTGAGCAGTTTTTATATTGGGTCACATTGACTCTCAGTGTGCAGCAGTGGTTCCCAACATGGGGGGCAGGACCCTTTGAAGGAGTCGCAAGATACATTCAAGGAGTGTAGTTCTGGACTTTTCTGACTCTTAAGTGGTTTGTTGTCTTGTGAAAGACACCAGAGTGGTGGGTCGTGGTCCAATTAATCGTTTAATTTTGCTTAAATGTAAAGATCTGAAAATCACTGGGGGAACTGCTCATCCTGAGTCGACACTGCTTCCTTTTGAGGGCTCATGAGGCAAAAACGTTTGGGACCCGCTGCTGTAGACAGCACTCATTTTTACTTTACATACACTTTTTTTGATACACTTGCTAGATTTTATTAATTTAAATAAATGAAAGTATGATGTAATGTATATAATATAATGTAGTCATTCAGGTGTGGATAAAATGTTCCTGATAGAACCCTAACTGAGCAACACAAACCTTTCTAATGTCCTGTGTGTTCTTTTTATTATGGGCTGTAGACTGACTGGGGTCCTGGCACTGGTCAGGCACAGAATGACCTCTCTGTGTCAACTGAGATTTGGCCCAGAGTCATGGGTCAATGTCATCCTTGAAATAAAAACACCAACTTTATTTTGATGCCAAAGGCTTGTCAATGATTAACTTATGCATGTTCAAGCTATTACTGCATGTCAGAACTTTTATAATGTTGCAATGGGAGTTGGTGATGCCAAACTCTCTTGTCCAGCTGTTGGATCCCTGGATGGACTCTAGAGGGCAGTGTTGTTCTGTCTCACGCAGATACCTCTCGCTCTGATTTGACTGTTCTGCATGTATTATTTGATTTGACAAATGATGTTTGTTTTGTACTCAGTCACTTTCTTAAAACCACATCGTAATTCAACATATGCTTCTGATGACTCTCTGTGTACACACTCAGCTTTAATAAAGGGTAAATACCCCCCTCCTAAAATAGCACTAAGTGCATCTCCGATGAGAGATGTCATCCTTCTTTTTGCATATCATTACACCGAGCACAGCTGCAGCCGCTCACAGATGGACAAATAGCTCCTATAACACCTCAGTACTTCCACCCAGACACACCCAAACACACATAGACACACACACACTTCTTTGTGCCTGGGCCTGCAGCCTTGACAGTGATCTCCCTGCACATGTGTGAAGGAGCGTCTTCAGTTACTCCCCCTGCCTCTGCACACACATTAGTTTGAAAGGTTATTTTGGGCTTCAGAAGTACCACTGTAGCCCTGTGCTTCCAGCGAAATAACAGGAGGAGTCAAGATTATACCCTCCCATTCTGCCCCTGTGGACGCTTCCCCATGTCAACTGACGGGGGGTTTCCCTCTAAGCACCAGGTTCTGGCTCTTTACGCTGTTGCATTAGGTTGGATTCTCATTCTGAGATAATGGACAACAGTCCTCTGCAGGTGTTGACTGTCCCTACAGCCCCCTACCCCGACCAGAGACCCGGCACCAATGGCCTGAGGAGAAAGGTTTATGTATTCCAGACCAGGAGGAACTACCTACACAACTTCATCCAGAGTATCTTCTCCTCCATTGACCTACGTGACCGCCAGGGATCAACAGTGGTGGTGGGGGGAGATGGACGCTTCTTCAACCGAACAGCTATTGAGGTCGTTGTGCAGATGGCAGCTGCCAACGGGGTCAGTGACACCATGTGTGTGTGTGTGTGTGTGTGTGTGTGTGTGTGTGTGTGCACATGCTGGTATGTGTTTGTGTGTGTGGGCGGGTTTGAGCATGTATGTGTCATCTGTTGTTGTCCCTTTGTTGTTAGCAGTTGTACCAGCCCCATGTCTTATTAGTGTTCAGTTTGCAGCCTTTTAAGTGGGGTTGTATTGAGAGGAAAAAAATAATGAATTCATTTATAATGGAAATAAATCATGTTATAAATCAGACATTAACAGCTATAACAGTATATAGAAGATATAATCTGTAATCCAAATTAAGCAAAATACAAATAACAGAAATATTCAATAAATTAAAATTAAAAAATATTATGTATGTTGCATTCTATTAAATTTTACATGCAAGGGAGTCTTGGTGCACATGCAATCTTAACGTTTGTTAGTCTTTTGTTGACGTTGAATACTATGGAAAAATACTGACAAAACAAATACCAACTCAAGTTTCACTGACTATCTTTTACCAGAGGTTTTATCTATATCACACAGTCCTCCTGAAGCAGTTGAAGTCATAGAGGTGCTATGGGGACGAGACCTATTTGGTTCAGTTCAATCAAACTCAAGTTTGTTTGCCCCTAAGTGTAGTTCGTTTGGGCAGGTGTGACCGAGACCTTCTTGAAGAGGTGGTCTAAAAACGCACTCTGGCGCAGTTCATTTGTGGTGAGAACGTGTTCCGACCTCGATCCGAATCAACTACAGTCACATGACACATTGTTTGGGTTAAACATGAGCATGTTACAGTCCTGGAGGATTATTAATGTGCACCTCCTCCTGTACTGCCTTAATATGCACATTCAGCACATCCAATGCATCAAAACATTGTTTTCTAGTTGGAGCCGCGCCTCGTTTTCAAACTGTATGGTTTGACTAAAATGAACAATGACAGCAATATAGTCCACGATGACCAGAGCTAAAATCAACCTGCGTAGTTGTCCCTCCATTTTGACATTAGAAAGTGTCTCATTTATCTTGCAATTGTACTCTTCTTCAACGTTTTGTTTACTTCCTGGATTTTACTGACCAATCAAGAGCAGCTTTCTCACACAAGGCATTTGATCTGGTCCACTTGCAAATGCTGCCGTGAGAACACGAACCACTTCTAGGCAATTATACAACTTTGTAACAAAATTAGTCCCTGATTCAGACAAAAGCAAGACAACTCTAGGTCTGAAAGCACCTTAAAAAGTCAACAGATCTGCATGACAACGCAGCAAACTTCATGTGCTGAAGAAGCCAATGTGAAACAAGTTTTTGTTAACAAAAAAAAGTAAGTCATGTGTTTATCGTGCAAGTTGACATTGCAAAGACGATTCTAAACAATTGTGCAGCTCAACTTAAAACATGATTAGCCAGGTATAAATGGTCTGCATCTGTGAGTCATACGCAATGCAAGGGGAGACAGGATAATGCAATTCCACAGTAGAACCATGTAACTAATAAATTGAAGCATCAATGCTGCCTTTCAGTTTAAAACCAGCTAGTCGCTGCTGTAACTTCAGCTCCTGGCTACTCTGGTGTCTTCAAATAGAAAAGCATAAAACCTGTTGTGTTTTCTTCTCTCTTGCCAGCACCAGTAATGAGCTCTCTGTGGTCCCCGGGCTTAAATTACATAACCTTTGAGCTTCTGATGCTTCTCAGTAGGATGGTTAGAGGGATTTAAAATGCACTTACTCATAATATAACTTGCTCTTGATGTGCCATAGCTGTCATTCGTTAAATGAAATTCTAGCCCCAATCACTTTGAGGAGGAAGCATGACACACCAAACCTGATATTCAGCGGTATTCCCCGCCCTCCCCCCAACTCAGATAAATTAAGATACACACTCATGCCTGCCAGCTCACCCACACACACCTGTGTGACATTTCCTCAGGTGGGTCGTGTCATCATTGGACACCACGGGATAATGTCCACACCGGCCATCTCTTGTGTGATCAGGAAATACAAAGCCATCGGCGGCATCATCCTCACTGCCAGCCGCAACCCCGGCGGACCTGAGGGAGATTTTGGCATTAAGTTCAATACTGCAAATGGAGGTATGGTAACTGGAGAGGAGGAAGCATGCAGAGGCATCGGCCAAGTGAAAAATAGTGTTACGAGAGAAGTTAACAAGGCTGTACGAGGCCTCATTCAGATATGTGGCACGGATACAGTTTGGGAGTTTGTCTGGACATCAAATCTGGAACAAAGTTCAAACACAGTGAAAAGAGCAACCATGAATATTACCACCAGTATACCCAATGTGTATAACTCATCAGTTCATGGAAAATTAAATATAATATCAGATTTTCTCCTCCATCCAGGCCCGGCCAAGGAGGCTGTCACTAACAAGATCTTTCAGATCAGCAGGACCATTGAGGAGTTTGCCATCTGCCCCGGACTGCAAGTGGATCTGACAACGCTGGGCAAACAGATGTTTGATCTGGAGAACAAGTTCAAACCCTTCACAGGTGAAGTGCAGCTTGGGTCTGTCACCCATCACTTCAGATCAGGAGGAGATGGAGGACATGAGAGGAAAAAAGGATGTGTGGATGGATACTAGAGCAGTGAACACTTTCCCTGAAGATGTTAGTTTGCTGCTACATTTAGACAATCTGACCTACTTTATGAACTGTCATATGACCAATTTTGCCATTCTTCAGTGAACGTTAATCTTAAAGGTCCAGTTTTTAGGATTAAGGTGGATATATTGACAGAAAAGAAATGCATTATTCATACTTGTGTTTTCATTAGTTTATTATTAATTGATATTAAGAAACATTGTATTTTTGTCGGCCTAGAATGAGCCGTTTATATTTACATATAGAGCGGGTTGTCTTCCCCAGAGTCCATGTTGTTCTGGTAGCCTAGAGCTAACTTACCAAACCCTGGCTCTAGATAGAGCCATTCACATTTTCACATTTTTACATTTTCATGTGGACCACCGCAGTTGTCCTACATGCATGGTACACAGGAGAAGTTTCAGTTGGTTGCAATCTGCAGTCTCACTGCTAAATGTCACTACATCCTGCACACTGGACCTTTAATGTCGACAATTACATGTAAATTTATAGATTAAAAACATGATTTTGTTTCTCACGTGTCTGTTTCCAGTGGAAATTATGGACTCTGTGGAATCCTACGCGAACTTGCTGAGGAACATCTTTGACTTTGCGGCTCTGAAGGAGCTTCTGTCTGGTCAAAACCACATCAAGATAAGACTCGATGCCATGCACGGAGGTGAGAGCATATTTACTAAGAGCATGTCATCTCATCGATATATTCTCTGTTACTCTGAAAATTTCAGAAAGATTTTCATGTCAAAACACACAAAATTAGCTCCAAAATATTTTTTAAATCTGTTGATCTGAATAGAGTTAAGCCCTGTAGTGATGAACATTTGCCACTGCTGGCTGCAGCACTCTCGCTAAGTACTGGACCAATTTCAAAAACTGTTGTGTCCATTAGTCACTTAGACACAAAAACATGTGACAATAGTTAAGTGCAGAGACTGAGTTCTTGTATTTAGTTGCTTATCATCACTGCACACAGGGCAGTTTAGATTCTCGGAGTCCAGACTCAATATGACCTTATTTCGTTGTTGTGTTTTTTTTTACTGAGTCATAGGTTCAGAGGAAAAACAACATGATGCTCATGTTCCTTAGATGTTTGCTTAAGGTCAAAGATGACGCACAGAACACGCCACCAGTCAGTACACACGCATCTGTTTGGCCTCTCTGACATTTGCATGATGTTTTCGTGCACACAAGTGCTTGTGGATTATGACACTATCCATATCCAAACCATTTACCATACAAAGACAATGATGAAAATGAGTGAAATGTACCGATCTGACTGAGACCAAAGAAAGTGTTGTCCCAGGCTCCAGTATAACATTGGAGAGGTGGCGTGGGGTTATGGGAACTGTTGACTTTAGAACGATTCATAATGATCAGGTTAAGAAAGCTATTTAGAGCGTCCCCAAACACTGAAACTGAAACTAACAGTCCCTGCATCCCCCTCGCCACCTCCTCAGAGGAAGTCATGAGTATTGTTATTAATAGGGTACAAATTCTGACAAAATGCCACACCCCTGTCACTGTGGCCCCTGACTTTCTCTCCATTTCAGTCACTCTCAGATCGTAGCTACGTTATAATTAACACGTTATAACTTGATTGTGGTGATAGTCAGATTTTGTTGCCTCTGGACAGAGCTTGGCTAGAAGTTTCCCTGTTTCCTACCTTTGTGCTAGGCTAAGCTAACTGGCTACTGGTGGTAGCTTCATATTTACCATACAAATATAAGAGTGGTACTGATCTTCTCAGCAAACTCTGAGCATGAAACCAATGAGTGTCTATTTCCCAGAATGTTAAACTGATGCTTTAAAGGAGCGGTGTTTGAGATTTAGGGGTATTTAATGGTGTCTAGTGGTGAGGATTGCAGATTGCAACCAACTGAAATCACTCCTGCTTAGAATCCCTTCAACATTCATTGTCCAGGAGATTTTTACCTGCAGCCGAATTATTCGCAACGGTCTCTTCCTCTCATAGACACACAGACCAGGTGATTAAAACCAGTAAAAATACTGAATAAAGCAGTTTCACGTTCCAAATCAGTGTTTCTCCTATGCTGTTTGGCATATTGGAGACAGGCTGCTAGCCCAGCACCTGCTAATGTGTGCTCACCTTTTTTCGCTGATAACTTAAGATCCAGACATTCAGGAGGTTTTTACCAGGAGTCGAATTATCCGCAGAGGTCTCTTCCTCTCCAAAACAAACAGACCTGGGGATTTAGACCGCTAAAAACACTGAATAAAACAGTTATGTACTTAAAAATCAGTGTCTTTCCGATGCACTCATCACGGAGGCGCTTCTAACTACTTTTTGTGTGAAAAGGCACAAAAAGCAAGGCCCTATGTGAAGTAAGTGTTTGGTTTGTTGGTTCTGGGCTACTGTAGAAACATGGCAGACTCCGTGGATGAGGGCCCACTCTCTTTGTAGATGTAAATGGCTCATTCTAAGGTAACAAAAACACAATGATTCTTATTTTCAGGTGATTATACACTAAAGAAAACATATTTATTATATTGTATTCCATTTCTGCCAATACATCCCCTACATCCTTCACACTGGAGCTTTAAGCGGAGCAACACAACACTGTTTTAGATGCCAATAGTGCCACTTTGTACACTACCATATCTGACTTCAGTAGTTCATCACTGTCTCTTTCCAGTCTTCTCTCATCACTGTCTCTGTCACCTCTGTTTGCTCCCCAGTGGTGGGTCCGTATGTGAGGAGAATACTCTGTGAGGAACTGGGCTGCCCTGCCAATTCTGCCATTAACTGCGTCCCACTGGAGGACTTTGGGGGTCAACACCCAGATCCTAACCTCACCTACGCTGTCGATCTCATTGAAAGCATGAGAGACGGGCAGTATGATTTTGGCGCAGCATTTGACGGTGATGGGGTGCGTGTACTATTGCACAAAGGCATATTTGACATTCACGTCTGGAAGGACTGAACCCAAGGCCTTGACTTCTAACCTCTGCCTGTGTGTCGGCTCTCTAGGACCGCAACATGATCCTCGGTAAGCACGGCTTCTTCGTCACCCCACCTGACTCTGTGGCTGTGATTGCTGACAACATCTTCTGCATCCCGTACTTCCAGCATACAGGGGTGAGAGGCTTCGCCCGCAGCATGCCCACAAGCGCAGCCTTAGACAGGTAAAAACACAGCCTGGTTTTCACATCCCTGCAAAACCAATGGGACAGTGGTTTTCCAAGTTGAAGCAGTGTCAAACTTACAGTACTTTTGGCAGCCCAGAAGAAAATGTTGGAATTGTACATTTCTACAAACCATGAATACATTACATCTGCAAATCGTATGCATCATATCAACATTTCTCACGTCAACAAAACCGGTTGTCCTTCAGTGAGTCGTTGCTGTGATTCCACTGAGGATAAAGGCATGAAAAGAAGTTGTTTTCTACCAGGACATATTTGCATTTCCTGCCAGGATAGTGACACGGAAAGCAGTTGCTTGTCTTACCAAGACAGGAATTTCCTGCGAGGATAGTGCCCCCAAATCCTGGTAGCTTCAGCCAAAACATGATCTTTCCTAACCAAGTTTTTGGTACCTAAACCCAACTATACATTAACAGCATTGTTCGTAAAGTTTCAGCTTTTCAGCTACACAATAATGTGCAAATGTAATGTATCCGTAGTTTGCAGAAACGGACAATAGCAACATATTTTCTGGGGATTGGGTTTCTTTTGGTGCAAACGGATCTTTAAATTTTATTTAGGCCCTTCTTTTAACATACAAAAGTACATATTAATAACCCAACAATTTTGTTATTTCAGTGTTTCACTTCTGTTCCTGCAGAGTAGCCAAGGCGACAAAAATAGAGTTATATGAAACTCCCACTGGGTGGAAGTTCTTCGGGAACCTGATGGACGCAGGCAGGCTGTCTTTGTGTGGAGAGGAAAGCTTTGGTATAGGTACTGTATCTCCTCAGCAAGTTATTAGATCAAAAGATTTTAATTTACATTGCATAGGGGAAGACAGAATCTAATTCAATTCTCATGTTTTACTTTCCTGTGCCTGGTGAATGTAATTACATACCCTCTTTCAGGTGGAGACCATATTCGTGAGAAGGATGGACTTTGGGCCGTGCTGGCATGGCTGTCCATCCTGGCCACCAGACGGCAGAGTGTGGAGGATATTCTAAAGGACCACTGGCTAAAATATGGGAGGAACTACTTCACCAGGTGAGATGATGACACACCTGTGTTGTTGTCTGTATTCATAGTTGTATTTGTACTTGCTAGGATCCACATTAGGTGATGCAGATACATCAGCTACTCTTCCTGAGGTCCACTCATAAACACAACAAAATAAAAAGGAGACATTCAAGTACAGCTATTGAGCATTCATATTCATATTACCATACTTTGCTATGTGATTACCTCTTACAACAGAGCATACATATTTACATCATTTGAGTACACAGTAAAGGCTTAATATAGATCTCTGATGCACATCAATATCTAGTGCAGGGGTGTCAAACATATGGCCGGTGGGCCAGAACCGGCTCACCAAAGGGTCCAATCCAGCCCACTAGATGACGAGACTAAGAGGTGCCAGGTTTCAGGTGCAAATTAAACAATGCTTTGCCTACTTTATGTAAAATTCTACCTCAGAGGCTCTACCACCCTGACTAGAATACAGTTCTCTGAAATACTGTTGAAATGGCACTAATCTTTCCTAAGACATCCCAGGCTGTTCATCTGTTGAACAGGTGGATGAATGGATGGATGAATGGATGAACGTCTACAGAATGTACTTACAGGTTATTGTGCAATGGTTTTATACGTCTGGCCCATCTAAGATCAAGTTGGGCTGTCTATGGCCCTTGAACTAAAATGGGTTTGACACCCCTGATCTAGTGTGAACAGCTATGGACATTCACCTTAGTGCACAGTTAAGGGTTATTATTAGAGGTTGGTGATGCGTATAAAGTTTGTTTTTTAAACCTCGCTGGAGTTGTGCTCTATCATTCGTCAGAAGTCACCCAAAAAACCCCCGAAAAAGTTGACAAAGAACAAGCAAGAATCAGTGGTTGAATCAATTCTATGTTGAAAATTTCAAGAAAGGACGGCTGAGGAGATACCCGCCGCACACCAATGTAACTGGGCTAGAAAGCCACAAAAAGGTCCATAGACTGAGATCAATGCCAAAATGGTCTATTTATCTAAGACATCTGTGCAAAGGTGCTAAACGTGCAAAAAAATGAAAAAGGAGATACATTTCAGTCCTTGACTTTCATCTGTGCTACTGACATGAGTGCTTCACAGAACACATCTTGACAGAGATTCCTACCAGGTATGATAACTCAGTCAGCTGGTGCCACTGGCTGAAACATTTGCTGCTGTTTTTACCCACTCTTAATCATTTTTTTGCACTTAGAGCACCTTATTTGTGCACAGATGTCTTCAATAAGTAGACTATTTTTGCGTTGATCTCAGCCTGTGGACCTTTTTGTGACTTTCTAGCCCCGTTACGTTGGTGTGCAGATATCTCCTCTGCCGTCCCTCCTTGTTTGTCTACTGTACAAACGCACCCAAGACAAACTTTTTTGTTGCCCCAAGTAGGCGCAGTTTCACAGCAGCCCAAAGACTTTACTCAATTTCATGGGCATAGTTTTGGTTTTGACATTGTGGGAAGGAGGCACACTTGAAACTGGAGATTTGGGTCCTCCCTCAGGAAATTCCCTGCGTCCTGGTGAATTATTTCCTGCATTCTGTGAATCAATTACTGCCTGTTTTACTGGGGGAGACACATGCACATGCTCTAAATATTGAGGGTGTATGTGTATCCCACAACACCTGATATCTAAGCCTATGCATGATTTGATTTGATAGATTTTCTTTATTTTGGTGTCATCCTCATGGCTTTCATGGGGTTTTCAAGACACCAGAAGTACAGCTGAAGTCATCCAACACTCCATTACTTTTCATTTCAGACTTGGAGGTTATTTCACAGCTTGGTCTTAAACCAAATATTCTACCTCCTTTCCTGAGCTTAGCAAATAAAATCTGCAATAAAAAAGGTTCCCTAACCGAAGCACAAGTCATGTTTTTCATCCAGCCAAAAGAAATCAACATAAATTGATGTAATTTTACTAAAGCACATCCTTTATGTCCTCGTAAACAGGACAGTAAAACAAAAGATGAATCTCATTCTCGTTTTCACCTTCATATGACAAACAAAGTCTGTCTTCCTGTGGAGTGGCATTAAAGCTGCTGGTCTCTGGGGCTAATGATACACTGATACAGTGTAGACATTCTTTATGAGACAAGAACGCTGCAATTTTTGTTTCTACTATACATCAAGACACCATTTTTTACTATGCATGTGAAACATTTTGCTCCTAATCCCCTGATTATTACAGAGTAACCTGTTCTGGAAAATGAATTACACATCAAAAACAAACAAAAAAAAAGGACCAGGCCAAATGTCCCAATTAAATGTGTTTTTAGTGAGCCTCTAAACTTCCAGAGCAGAGGCATTTGACATTGATGTCTGATGTTTGGAGGTTCCCTCAAATATCCCACTAATGGCCAAAACTGAAGTCAGTTTATGCACATTATATATCTGACAAACAGTGGCATGTGAAGAAGAAACATACAGGACATGACTGACATCTAGTGGAATCTATATGCCATTACATATTCTTTCAGTCCATGCCCTGACCAGTAAATCAAAATGTAACGTTATGATGTCTGGGACTCTGATCATTGTCATCCAGTGCTTCCATAAATTCTCTCACTGAAAACCAGACCAGCTTCAAATTCATGACATGTGTCCAGTGTATTCAATAAACTGCACTGTCAAACAAATGTTTTCTCTGCTGACACAATAAAGCACTTACTGTGTTATTAATAGCTATTGGGTTTTTTTTGTCCAGATATGACTATGAGAACATAGACATAGATGCAGCCTGTGAGATGATGGAGGATTTGGAGCTCATGATCGCAGACAAGTCCTTCGTGAAGCAGAGATTTGCTGTGGAAGACAAAATCTACCAAGTGGAGAAAGCAGACAACTTTGAGTACACAGACCCAGTGGACAGCACCATCTCCAGGAACCAGGTACATCATACACACTGAGCTGTACTGTTAAGTTTTTATGTGTAGGTATATGGACTCTTTCAGCATTGGAGCGACTCAGCTGTGCCTGCTGATGCTAAAAGCTTCACGTTTTCTACTGCAGGGTCTGCGGATAATCTTCTCTGATGGCTCTCGGATCGTCTACAGACTCAGTGGGACAGGAAGTGACGGGGCGACAGTTCGAATCTACATAGACAGCTACGAGAAGGAGCAAATCTTTGAAGACACACAGGTAAAATATCTGATTCTGAACATTTAAGGACCAAAACAGCTGAAATCTTTGAATCCACAGAACATAAACAGGAAGTCTGGTGATTCACATGAAACATGTTTTTGTACTGTATGAGGTGTTGGTAGTCCTGTGTGGTTGAGAGGAACGGGACAGGCCCTAATTTTTCATTTAAAGGGACAGTTCACCCCAGTTCAAAAACACGTATTATTCTTCTTACCTGTAGTGCTATGAATCAGTCTAGATTATTTGGTGTGAGTTGCTGAGTGTTGGAGATATCAGCTGTAGAGATGTCTGCCTTCTCTCCAATATAATGGAACTAGATGGCACTCAGCTTGTGGTGCTCAAAGTGCCAAAAATTACATATGAAAAACTCAACATCAATGTCTCTTTCCAGAAATCATGACCTGGTTACTCAAGATAATCCACAGACCTTGTTGTGAGCAGTTCCACGTAGGAACTATTTTCTTTCTACTGAACTACACCCACCAAATGTAACACTGTGCAGAAGGAAGCATGTATCTACTGCTAGCCCACCTAGCTCCACTGTGCTAGCTAATCACACAGCTCAACCAAGAAGGACACTATTCATTTTTACATGTCACGCTGTCACAAGCATGAGCCTCTCATCCATGAGTAGATGCACACCTCCTTCTGTGCAGTGTGCAGTGATACAATTGGCAGGTGTAATTCAGCAGAACTAAAATAGTCCCTACATGAAACTGCTCACAACAAGGTCTGTGGATTATCTTGAGTAACCAGGTCATGATTTCTGGAAAGAGACGGGGGTTTTTTTTTTTGGCGCTTTGAGCACCACAAGCTGAATACCATCTAGTTCCATTATATTGGGGCAACATTCTGGAGTAAAATATCTCTAAGTGACATTAAACAATATAAAACTGCTTATAGTTAAATATTAATGAGGAAATGCATCAGTGGCATCTGGACACCAGGTGCTCGGATCTCTGACCGTGTCCTAATTTGGGACAGGTGATGCTGGCACCCCTGGCGACCATCGCTCTGAAGATTTCCCAGCTCCATCACAGGACGGGTAGAAGCGGCCCTTCAGTCATCACATGATTCCCCTTATGTTACTCCATCATTGCTTAAGAAATGCCTTTTTTGTGTTTTTTCCAGATTTTTGTATAAACTGAGCTTCAATTCCAAGTGTAGCTGCACAACATGCAGTAGTTTGCATTTTAGGCTGAAATATATTCAGTGATTTTTCTCTGTTCCACATTAAACTGCTTTTTATTTTTGGCTCATGTGTCATTTGTGTGTCTCTCATATCACGGCAAACAGACTATGCATTCTGGTCTTGTTATTGTTTTTAAATCTTTGTCTAGTTCACTGGTATTTCTCTGTAATTGTTCCACAATGTAATTTGAACCAATGAGTCACAAGCGGCAGGGTTTCAAAATCATCAGCACTCCCAGTGACCACACAAAGTAATCATGACATAATTTCCCACTAAAAGCAGTATGTGGTTCTAAAACAGCAGTTTCATTTCCTCTGTAAAACTCACAGTGTTACAGATTGCAGCCGTGCACAGTCAATGTGCACTGTCAGCTTCACCGTTTTCCGGAAAGTAGTTATGAAGACTGTTATGCTATGCTATGCAGTGAAGTAAGGTAGTTACAACCAGTGCATGCTATTATGAAGGGCCCTACTGTGCCCTTGTTACTAGTTATGAAACACATGCACAGAGAGTTTTAGGCATATTTTATTTTACCAACAGTGCGTCTTACTGCTGCTTTTATGTTATACCCGTTTGCAGACGTGCCCAGCTTTTAGATTTTGCACCTAAAGTAGCTGCTGTAAATCATATTGTCTCGTTACATGATTAAACAGGGACTTGATATTGGACATCAACATATATATCACCCAGCAATCACCATTACAAATCTGTATATGACAAAAACTACAAAAGAAAATAGGAAACTATTAGTTTAACCCAGGTATTTTAAGCTAAAACGTGACTTTTCCAAACTATAACCAAGTGATTTGTGTCTAAATCTAACTACACTGCACGTTAAACACAGCATTGTTGAAGTTTCAACATATCAGCCACATAGTTACATGCAAATGTAACCTATACTGTGGTCTGCAGACATGTACAATACCAACAAATTTTCTGGCCATTAGACTGATTACAAACTGAAATGTTATATGCAGATTTCCATATTTCAAACAAGATTGCGACCTATATTTAAGTTATTATTCTAGTCTTGAGACATTAAAGCAACTCTTACCTTTCTTGCATTTCACACAGCACAAAATCTTAACATCCACAACTCCCACCTCCCTCCAAAGTCCCATCCTCCTCCTCCTCCTGCAACTCCACCTCCCTCCAAAGGCCTACTCCCCCCTCCTCCATTACGTCCTCATTACGTCTATGATAGACATAGGCGTTGGCAAGGTAACGTTAGATACACAAAGAGGAGAGCGAGTGTAACGTTACAACCAAGAGAGTCAAACGCAACCCCGGAGTTTTAAAACTCAACCGGAGTCAGTGATGACTGATGAGTTCTAGGATAAGATTACAGTGTTAGCTAGTAGCGTTAACGTTACTAGTAAGTGGAAACGCACCGGGAAGATAATTTTAATGTTTCAGAGGCTACGCTACAGTACGCTAACGTTAGCTATTAGCAACTGGATGCTGTGTTGTCATGTAACGTTATATGTTATATTAGAAGCAAGCTAAACATAACGTTACCTGTCCTGCACAGTCAAACACAACCCTGGTGTTTTGAAACTTGTCCGGGGTCAGTGATGACTTTTGAGTTTTATAATATAACGTAAATGGTAACATTAGATAGTACTGGTGACTGGCAACAAACAAGGAAGACAATACAGAGGCTCAAGCTACGTTAGGCTACAGTAGGCTAACCGTTAGCAACTGGATGCTGTGTTGTCATATCTATTATATTAGGCAAACTAAAAATACCTGTCCAGCAGAAACTCTGCGACCATCTCATCCCTTTTTAGCTCAGGATGAAGCTGCATCAGTCTTCACCATCGCTCGAAAGCAGAGCAGATGTTGACCCTTGCAGCATCGAGTTCTCTCTTAGTGTTAGCTTTTTCTGCTATATTCTTTCTTTTGCCAATTTGATTTCCCTGTTAGAGCGGCTGGAGGTGGAAGCGGCTGTCCACATTTGTCTGCCATTGTTACAGAGAAAAGTTTATATCCACAAGCGTCCCTGTTACTAGCCTATTTGTTGTCTCACAGACTCGGGGGCGGGGGAGGGGGG